TTTTGATATGACCCATGGATAAGTTGAGGGTAAAACATAGGGGCATTTAACAAAAATATAAAGGGTGAAGCAAAGGAAAATAATGCTAAGGAACTTACAAAATTCCAGCAGACATAGCTGTTTGTGCTCATCCTAAATGCTGAATGGATGAGAGAATAGAAGGGGGTCAGTGCTTCCAGGACAAATTATGCTCTTGCCTTTCACCAGGGGATGGTTCCCTTTTTTATAAGAGTTAAAATGCAGGACTTACATTGACCCATGAATATGTTGATCCAGGTTTTGGGAGTCAATTTTTTTTTTTTACATTTCTAGACTTAAACAGGAGTATATACAGTAAGTGCTTACTGTTATTGCTAAAGCAGTGATTCCTAAATTGGGTGGTATGCCCCCTCCCAGTGGCAGTGGAAATATCTAGGAGGTAGTGAGCAGAAAAGGTTGCAATAGGGGAGTTGTGAGGGGGAAAGAGTGTGGCCGGGGAGGGGGGGGCTTCAGTCAAAATATTGGTGCACAAGAAAGAAAAGGGGAACCAGTGGCCTTTAGGACCATGGTGGGGATGAAATTTGCATGAAACTTCTTTTTAGGATTCCTAAAAACCACCACACAACTTCACTGATTGCTTTGTGTGGTGGTGTCTCCCACTCTTAGCCTCCCCTCATGACCTCACTCCCTTAGTTGCATATTACACTATTAGTAGAAATGGCATTTGGGAAGCTCTTGAAAGGCTAGGGTGTGGAGCATCATTTCTGTGGCCTGGAGCAGCCCCATTGTGGGACAGACTGATTGGAGCAAGGAGCTCATGATGATGTGAGAGAAATGATGGCAAAAAGGAGCTTTCAAATTTGAGACCCTGCTTAAGCTTTGTGAACTTTGCTGCTCTTCTACAAAACCAGGACAAAATGTAGGGCATTCAAAAAGAATGGAGGACACAGCCAACTAAAAGCCAAAAACATTAATATAAATTCATGCTTCTCAGTCCTGCTCAAAATGGAGGAGATTTGGACATTCCTCCTGGACAGAAGGTTGAAATATATACATTTTAAAATTATATATTTTTAATTTTATGTTTGATTATTTTAATGGGTCCTAGGTTTATGTGCATGAGCTGGCGTGGTTTGAATGTTGGACTATGATGCTGGAGACCAGGGTTTGAATCCCTGCTTGGCCATGGAAACCCACTTTGTGATATTGGGCAAGTCACACTCTCTCAGCCTCAGAGGAAGGCAAGGGCAAACAAATCTTGACAAGAAAACCCCATGATAGGTTCACTTTAGGGTATATGTAAGTTGGAAACAACTTGAAAGCACACAACAACTGCAACAAAGATTCAGGCAGGGCTTGGTGGCTAATAAAGTACAATTTTAAGCCTTTTACTTGCTCAGAGTTTTACAAGTATATTGCAAGCCAATAAGGCATTTTAACTAAGATAAATTCATCAGAAAAATGTGATTAACTGCATAATAAAATTCAGTGTATGTCATATAGTTGTAAATAAACCATATGAAATAAATGTATATTTATATTTATATTATTTATATTGCAAAGGAAAGGAGGACAAGGCAGCACAAAATGGTGAACGTTCACAAAAAATGGAGTACACACCAAAATAAAAGCTGCATACACTAAGGCTGCATTTGCACTGCAGAAATTATCTGTTTTGACACCACTTTAATTGCAATGGCTCAATTGCCAGAGCTCTACTCTGATGCCAAAACAAACTACATTCCCCAGGATTCCATAACATGGAGCCATGACAATTAAAGTGGTATCATACTGGATTATTTATGCAGTATGGATGCAGCCTTAATGATTTTAGCATTTATTTTTAAAATATCTCTCCCCTGATAACAGGGTCTCCCTAAGTTGCAATCAACCCTACTCCACACCAAAAGAGCAAACTCAGACTCCAGCCTCTTCACCCTCAATTCCAAAAAAGTGCTGGGGGAGATCCTCTCGAAGGCATTGTGTATGTGTTTATTGCCATTTATACCCCCTGCTGTCCCTCTCTTCCTCACCTGCTGCTGCCGGAGGGAAGCAGCAGGAGCAGGCAGAGCAGGAGGAGCGCTATGGCCATGGCACTACCTCCTCCTCTGCTGGAACCACTACCTGTGTGAGGGCTGGGCTTTAGCACTGATCTCAGGGTCCACAGGGCCACCATTGCCTTCATCGGAGGAGCCAGCATTCCCGCCGCCACACTGTCACCACTCTGGCGCAGCCACTTCCAGAGGCAGGGGGCAGGAGGAGGAGGAACATGCTTCAGGGAAAGGGGAACTTGGGCACCCAACTGACAACACCAGGGATAGGAGGGTGCTGTTGCAGTTGCTGCTGCTGTTGTTGCAGCCTAGCAGAGTCCACATGAGGCAGCAACACATGAGGCAGTGGTCAGAATGGAAGGGCTCATGCCACTGCCACCACTGCCAGCCTTGAGCATGCACCGCTGCTGCTGCCACTGCTTCTGTGTTATGGCTCTCATGTTTTGAAGAGAGTGTTGGTGGTGATGATGATGAAACTGGGACATGCAGCTGCAACCGTCCGGGGCATTTTCACCCTTTAAACCAGGACTTTCCGAGTGTTTTGGGACTAATGGTAATCCTATAGGGGGTGGGGAAAGACACTTGAAGCTTTGTGGGGAAGACGTATCTCTGAGGAAGGAGAAGGGGGAATATCCAGCATTGATTCTTGGAAAGAATCTTTTCCCTTGGAGTGACTTCTGTAGTTAAAATCTCTCCCTTTCCCCATCTGTGCCAGTCTCCAGTCCAAAGCATGTAGCTTCTGTAAACCCCTTACACATGTACCAGCTGTGCCTTTCTCCACTCTGACAAAGGAGTGAGAGTCCTTAATTGCCAGGGAGAACCTTCTCTTTTTTCACCCAGTCATCCTGCAAGTAGCAACCAAATGGCCTCTTGTCTACACTAGTCCTTGTTGCAAGGCTGGCATGGGCAAGCTTGGTTACTGCTCAGCCAGCTGCTTGGTTGCTGCTCCCAAGGTGACCAGGAGCAAAGGTAGTAGTAACTAAGATTAGTTGTTTTGAATTTGCAGTTGACCTAATATCAAGAAATACATGCTGGATGGAAGGGGGGCAGAGGGTGCTAGGTTTGTTGCCTAAGAGGAAAAGGGGCGGTGATCCAAAAAAAAAAAAAAATGGGGAACATTGTGCTAAATGATATGGTATTTTTGGTATGTATATTGTATTGAAGTATGCTTGTGGCTTTTCTATGTGGCTGCAGCATAACGTCAAAGAGAGAATGGGCTGAAATAATTAAATTTATGAATTCATGAAATTACCTATGAAGTGAAGCATGTGAGTATAAAACTATTCATCCTTTTACAGCTCATAAGCAATTGTTTCTTGTAGACTTTACTTGCAATTGTCATTTATAATTAAGCTGATAGTTTTAGTGTGGGTGGGTGGATAAGGCAAGAGTAAAAACATATAACATGGCTTATTTTATTTATCATGCATTAGTAAACCTGATTAAGATTATGATGATACTCAGAAGGGGAACAGATTACAATAGAAGGGAAGATAAAAATTTAACAAAGTTGGCAGTGTTGAGTTTAGAAATGCAGTTTATCTCACAAATTCCTCTTGCAACCAACCCCAATAGGGCTGTCTTTGTGTTGTGTTTACATGTGTATGCAGTCCATCAGTATTTCCTCTTATCTCTCTACACTAATCACTCACACCTTCCATTTACCTCAGTCAGTATTCTGTAAAGGAGTACAAATAAATCTCATTTGATAACTTGAGAGGCTACGAATGTGGCATGAGACAAGTGTGGCTCTTAGGTTTCTTGTAGCCCAACCCCATTTCTGCAGCCCTCAAGGACACCCTCAAAACCTCTAGGTAAAGGTAAAGTTTTCACCTTTGACATGATTGTTGTCTCCAACTGTAGGGGATGGTGCTCATCTCCATTATTAAGCCAAGGGAGCCAGTGTTGTCAAAGAGGACTCCATGGTCATGTGGCCAGATGTCTACATGGAATGTTTTTACCATCCCACCAAAGTAGTACCTATTTAGCTACTTACACTTCTACATGCTTTTGAACTGCTAGGCTGGCAGAAGCTAGGACTAGTGCTGGGAGCTCACTCCATCACACAGCACTTGGGTCTTGAACTGCCAACCTGTCAACCTTGTGGTCATCAGAGTCAACATCTTAACTTCTGAGCTACCACATCCCAATGCCCCGTCTCACATTTTTTTTAAAAAAAATAGTAGTTTTCCAACTCCAAATAAATCTAGAGTAAATAAAACCTATCCAAAATGAAGTAGTTTACTTCTCTTATCCCCCACAACCTACAACCCACCAGATGATAATAAACCAAAGACTATGCCAGAAATGTTGTTGTTACTTATAGGTTGGGGCAGGGCCATAGAGACAACCATTGATTTCCTCCTGGGATAGTTGCTCTCTGAACTGTAGGTACTGCATCATGGAAAATATATTTAACTTCATATATTTAACATGCAAAGAGAACTTGGTTACAATAAAGTAGAATGAGGTCTCTGGGCCCTTTTATGCTATTACAGCACTATGATTCCACATTAACTGTCATAGGTATAATTTATACAATTACCGTATGTGATTTGTAGTTTGGTGAGGCCAATAAGTCTCTGGCTGAGAATTCTAAGTACCCCTCTCTAAACTGTAATTACTAAGATTCCATGTGCAGTGACATCTCATGGCTTTCATGTGAATGTGGCAGTGAATCCATTAAGGATTGTTAAAGTTCAAATTTGAAAGGAGCTATCCAAAGTGCTCAAACTATTTTGAGGATTGGATTCAGAAACTTTGATAGTTTCTTTAAATTCTTCATGAAAACCACAGTGAATTCTCCATCCCACTGACTTGGAAGCCACCAGCCACCACTATATATGCCTCAAGCCTGTTTTGAAGTTGGTTCTTCTTTCTCCAGTATTTAGAATGATCCTAGGCCATCCTTTCTTCTTGGTTTTCTCAGCACTCTGATGCAATTGTGTTATTGTAGAAGTATGAACAAGAGTCAGTGTGGTGTAGCGGTTTGAATGTTGGACCACGACTCTGGAGATTAGGGTTCAATCCCCCCCTTGGCCATAGAAACCCACTGGGTGACACACTCTTAGCCTCCCAAAATCCCATAATAGGTACACCCTAGAATTGCCATGGCAGAAAAGACTTGAAAGCACAACAAAGAACCATAAACAATAATTATCAAGTAATTTTAAAAGAAATGTAGAGTTGAACAATACAAACATAATTTATTTAGTGGAAAAAATGTATACCTATAGCTGAGGTAAGATAGGAGCTAGGTGTTGAATATAGGATCCATTTTTGTGCAGAATTCCCTGGACTCTCTTCCTCAGTCCTGAGGGTGAGGGAGAGAAAAATCAGATTGAGAAAATTGTTTTGAAAGGTGTATGGATATATACTTTTAAAAAATTATTTGAATGGCATACTCTAGGAAAAGATGCTTGATGCTTAAGGTATATTTACATCAGCAGGGGTTTTCCCTTGTAACATCACCAGGGCTCCACTCCTGTGACATCTCAATGGGTCATCTCTAGACCTCAGGTTTTAGTTCCAATATCTCAGGGCCTGGGATAATCTTGCCTTGGCAACCTAATTGGCAACTTTGGTCATACCTTCAAAATAAGAAGAGGAAGAAGAAAAAAGTGTGTGTGGAAGGGAATGAGTAAAAGTTATTGAAACTAAGAAGGGAGGGAGGTGTGCTCACCACAGGGAGATGAAAAACATTGCTAAGAGGAAATTGCATATTTTCCATAAGGGATTCAGCAGCCTTCATTCAAAACTGAGACTGTCAGCTATTCCGTTTCATGCTTGCCATTGCCATAATTTTTGCCACAAGTTGCAAATAAAGTCATGTTCACTAGAGAAATGTCAATAGAAATAGAAAAAACTTAAAGCAATGCCCTTGAAATATCTGCCACATGGCAAATGTCCTATGTAAGCAAGGTCTGGTAATCCTGTGGAACAGAATCTATGGAAGCATGTCTTGTCTGGGTCATGTTAGATGATTCAGATTTGCTGATGTTTACCATGGTGTGGGATTAACCATGAACATAAGATTCTCTGTTTCAAAGCACAAGGACGTATGTGTTATGCTAATGATACTTTTTTTGTAATTGACTGAAGACTGAATGCAGTTTTTTGTCTTCTTACAGCTTTGTAGAAAACTCCAGCAAGATTTTGAGAGGTCTTTGTCCTATATATCACATTGTTGGTTTTGGACAGGGCTAGTTCTGAATGCAAAGAATCATTATCGGCACTCATTCTTGGTGCTGGTGCCAGCATCTATAGGGATGCTTTGAGTGTTTATCAGGGAGAGTTTTTAATGTGAATATCCTTATTTGTTTATGAACATGCATTTCTAAGGCACACAGGGCCCTGCTTCCCTCCCTTTCTCCTAACTTCTGTGGGCCTATAAATCCTACCAATGGAAGGAAAAATGGGAAACAAGATTTCCCATTCTCTAGTGCCATATTACTTCTTCCTGGGAAGGAAAGCAAGTGGTATTCCATGTGTAGTCCCAGCTGTGTTTCTTTCATCACAATAATAATTTTTAAGTTAAAAAAACTGCTTAAAATTATTCAGAACTGTTCGAAGTATTAGTGGGAGCAAGATTTTTTTAATGGCATCTAAAAATACTAGGTAATCAGCATTGTTCACATCTAGCATCTCTTTCAAAATAACATGAAACTTTCCTAATTTGATCTTGAAAAGTAAATGTGTATTTGGACTGCACTCACCCTTCCGTTCTCACAGACTTGAAGTCTGTGGTTTTGCATATTCACGGAGGGGCAAACTCTGTTAAAATCAATAGAGCATGCTCCCACAGGTGCACCCCATTTAAGCCTGTGGACTTGAATATTGGCAAATCTCCATTTTCACACGGGGAGGGATCCAGAATGGAGGGCTGACTGTATATGTCAATTCCAATCTTCTGGTTGCTCCAAAATAAATGTTACATCTGTTTGCATCTCCAGTGTATGCACACTGTACATCCCATTTATTCAGGCCTCATGGATACCATACACAAGTGGACTCCTGCTCCAGTAAACATGTGCATGCATGCACACATACACCTTCTTGGCTATGACCTGCAAAGTTTTCTGAGGAGGTGAGATGAGGAACATTTGTTTGAGCAAATGTTGACTCCATTACTTCATATACTACTGTGTGCATCTAAGCAGAGAATAGGTCTGCACTAACACCTCAATCAATTTTTGAAACATTATACAGTTAATCAGATATTGCTAATTGATTCTTGAATAAATTTCTGAATTGTTAAAGCATGGGTCAAGCATAAAACTTCCTCCTTGGGATCTATATTAAGTCAACTTGGGAAACAGTTGTTAAGATCATATTTCTAAAAATCCCGCCATACTATATATATGAGTGTTAAATTTATATTCAGTGAACTAACCACCCACTATTCTGAGTTTATTAGTTCTTGTTGCCTCTTTGATCTCTTTCAGTACTACTCTCATTCAATATCCTATTTCTCTAGTTTGACAAGTACACTATTATGCCTTTATTCTCTGCCTTGGGATTTATACCCAGATATTTTTCCACTGCTTTACAAGGCTCTATTCATTATTTGTTTAAGCCCAGACTGAATATTACTGGAGACTATCAAGTAAGCAAGGAAAATTTCATAATTCAAGAACTAACAGTAATTTCACTTTAACTACCCTCCTGTGCATACTCACACAGAAACTTAAAGAAATACAAGGTATACAAGTCAAAATTTCCATCATTTTCAAGGACAGTGTTCACATTTAAGCAGAGGCAGTTGTTTAGCAAACCAGTCAACAGTTTATCTGCTGCGATCCTACACATCAGTCTATCACTTGGTCCATTTTAGTTGGCTAAGTGGACATCTTACAGGAAAAATTATTGGTTTAAAATGTATTTATTTCCATTTTTGTTCACTCTGTTTCTTTAAATCAGATAACACTAAGCCTTGGGAAAGTCTAGGCCCCCTCCCCAACACCCTTGGCATTGACAGGAATCTTGACCCTTTTAAATAAGTTGTAAGGGCCATTCCCTCTTACATTTACATAAGTTTGCAAATCGTGTTGACACTGGGTGGCTGAAGCAATTCAGGCCAGGGCATTGTTCCCACTATGGAAGTGAATTGTAGCAATGGCACTAGTAATTCCCACTAGTGCTGTTTGCGCCACTTTTGGGTGGGGGGAACAGCTCCAGGAGGAGAGGGGAGGAGGAAGAAGAAGAAGGGAAAAAGGAAGAGGGGAAGGAGAAGAAGGAAAAGTAGGATGAGGGGAGGAAGAAGAGAAAAAGAGAGAAAAGGAACAAGAAAGGGAGAGGAGGGAGAAGAGGAAGAAGAGGAGGGGAAAGAAGGTTACCACCATCGCTGATTTCCTCCCAGCAAGTGAGATGTAAGAGACTGGACATCAATTCCCAGCCTGGCCGAAAAACCCACTAGGTGACCTTGGGCAAGTCACACTCTCTCAGCCTCTGGGAAGGCAGCCAAGGCAAACCCCTCTGAATCAACCTTGCCAAAGAAAACCCCCATGATTAGCACTCATTCGCTCATCTGCCCACCCAGCCAGCACAATCAGGAGGAGGACAAGGAGGAGGAGGGAGTCCTTGGCAGCTGAGCACCCAGCTCATGCAGCTGATCGGCCCTGATTCATCCAAGCTGCCCTCAGGGCTCGGAGAGGGGCCCGGCTCATGCAGCTGAGCAGCCCCAATTCTCTGCTCCTGGGGCTGGTCTTGGAGATGTCTCATCCATACAATTGTCATGAATTGAGGTTCACCTGGTAGGAACACAGGAGAGGCCCATCTTGGTGGCTGCTCCCAGGCTCTAGAGCTCCCATCCTAGAGAGGACCCTGCTATCCTTCCATAGGCATGTGAAGATATCTTTGTTTCAGCACATCTTTGGAGACTGATTTCTCAGGGGGAAAGGGCCTTTTAGAATGTCATATACTGTTTATTTGTTGCTTTCTTTTTAATAGGCATGTTTTAACTGTATTTAGTTCTGTTTTTTGTTTAATTCTGTTTTTAACTTTGTACAATGCATTTTTTTAGCTGTATCTCTTTTATCTGTTGTATCCGTTGTATCCAACGGATTATCCAAATCCCAGACTTGGAAAAAGACAATTATGTTATTGTTCCAAATTTTATTTCTCTGAGATCCATATGGACCCAAATGTATAAGAAGAGGGGGTCCCACATGAGCAAAGAGCATTCTTCAGAGATAAGGAAGAAAATGGGACAGCTGGAGAACACCCAGCCACAGCCAGCAGGAGGGAAGGAGGTGCTGCTAGGTTAAAGATAAAGGTAAAGGTGTTCCCTTTTGACAAGGTTGTCAAGTCGTGTCCAACCTTAGGGGGCAGTGCTCATCTCCATTACTAAGCTGAAGAACCAGCATTGTTAGATACTATTCTGTGATCACAGAATGCTGTTTACCTTTCCACTGATAAGTGGTACCTATTTGTCTACTTGCATTTGCATGCTTTCAAACTGCTAGGTTGGCAGAAGCTGGGGCTAGTGACAGGAGCTCACCCCATCATGCAGCACCTTGCAATCAACAGAGTCAGCATCTTAACCACTTGAGCCATTGTATCTCATATGCTGGTAAGTTAGAGTGAGAGAATGCAGAGATGATTCAAGTGTGATTATACTAATATAATAATAATAATAAAATTTATTTATATCCCGCCCTTTGGTAACCCAATCAGGGCGGCTTACAACCATAAAAACATATACAATACCCAATCCCAGAAACCCCTCCCCCCTTAAAACAGTATTAAATCAATAGAGGTTAAAACAAACAATTCAATTCAGTAAAACAACACAAACCAATATATAAACCCAGCGGCCATGATCCTAACCATCCTTAGATGGGGCCACGTAAGGATCACTGGGGTGGGTTTATCTGAGGCCGGAGAAAATTTTAATCTGGAAAGGCCTGCTGGAAGAGATCCATCTTGACAGTGCTTTTGAAGCTGTCTAACGATGTTAGCTGACGTATCTCATCTGGCAGGCCATTCCAGAGTTTGGGGGCGATAACAGAGAAAAGCCCTCTGAGATGTAGCCGCAAGCCTCG